TGGAGTCAGAAAATCAAAGGGGCCAAACTCACTCAGCATTTCTTAAGCTGAAGGAAATAAAGAACAAATTCAAGCCTCGAGTCACAATTCTTAAGGATGCTTTGGGCAGAGTAGTAAATGATCCAGGAAGCATTAAAAGGAGATGGAAAGAGTATACAGAGTCTCTGAGGTGGGCCTGTAGAAACCAGTGGGCATCAGAACAGAATGCCCCTCAGCCCCCAGCAGGAACCACCTTGCCTGAGCCCCTGGGTCCACGATCTCACACAGCTTGTCTCCAAAGAGCCTTGGCTCCGGGGCTGCCAGGTTTGTACTGAGTTCTGAGGGCCCCTGAATGAACACAGGAGGGTCTTGGACGCTTTTCACAGCTTAGAGAGAGGGGCATCTTCACCAGGACTCTTCCGTCTGCTCCCCATGGTATTTCATGTTTTTCTGAATCTTTTATTTAAAAAAAAAAAAAAAGAAGCTTGGGTGAAAGTTTATAAAGCAAGTTAGTTTTCCATTCAAGAACTTCCACATGTTTTGTTTTTTTTTTTTTGTTTTGTTTTGTTTGTTTGCTTTTAAAGTCTTTCCTTCTTGAATTCAGTTCTGCTGAATACAAATGAGTCCTCCTGGTACCCGGTGAGCCTTTAATGAACAATCACGAGCAGGACCGAGGACGGTGCCGCATGCCAAGCTCTCTCTGCTTTCAACATGCTGGATTCAAGCCCTCTCCTTGGATCACGGCTCTCTTCTTTTACTCAAACTACCATTCACACTCTTATTTCTCTGCTAGCAAAAAAATGCAAAAGTGTCTAGTAAGACACAAAACCGTGCAGACGTGGACATCTTTACCAAGGGGACTGTGGGTGCAGGACTGTCTAGACAGAAGTCCAGACAAGATGTAAACAATCCACCGTTCTCGATGAAAACTGCACCTCCACATTTCTCAGTAAGGGCATACTTCTCGCGGACAAAGGCGGCCTCAAGTATTAAATGCACCTCCACAATGGTGTGGAATATAGAATTGTCCACTGCTTTCTGTCAGCATACCAATCGAGCAATTGATGTTTTTAAAGCCTTCTGCTGAATGCCCTTTTTAAGGCTGACCTCACCGTGCTCAGAGTAAGCGAGCAGAGACTCAGGAGGAAACGGAGACATGAGAGCACAACCACGCGTCTGTTCACGGCACAAAACCCCGGTCAGGGAGACCTGCCCAGGCCTGAACGGAGTCCCAGGGGCCGGCAGCGCCAAGGGCAAGCTGGATTCTGTTGTCTGAGGCAGCTGTGGCTGACTGCTGCTGGGGCTAGACGGTATGAAGTAATCTCCCTGGGATAACAAGTACTGGAGAAAGGCCTTTCTAAAACAGGAACTGTTTTCTTAAAGCCATTCCTAAATATTGAATGTCAAGGCCAAATTCATTCCATGAGAAACAAAGCTTTTTTTACCTGCTACCTCTCCCACTCTTCTTAGGCTGAAACTCTTTGTTGCCAAGTGGGTTGCTGACGCATGGCGACCCCGAGTGTTACAGAGGAGAATTGCTCCAAAGGGTTTGGGTTTTTTGGGGGGATAAGGTGCAATAGGCAGTCTGTCAGGCCTCTCTTCTGCAGTGCTGCTGAGGGCGTGAGGGTGGGTCCACACTGCCAGCCTGAAGGGTAATCTCAACTCACTGCTGTGGAGTCAGAACTGACTCACAGAAACTGTGACTTGCATGAGACTCACACGGGAGGAGACTGTCGATCCTTCTCCCTCGGAGCAGCTGGTGAATGTGAACCATGCGGAGCTCGGGGGCCTGGGGGCCAGAAGCTGCACCACAATCCTGAAGGCGCGCAGTTCAAACACCCGCCTCTGAAAACCTGCCGGAGGGTCAGCTCCACAGTACACAACAACACCACAACACAACCTTGGGGGTGGTGGTGCAGCTTCTTCCCAGTACACCACCAGAGCTCCCCACAGGAACAGTCAAGTGCGAACTGCTTGTGTCACCCAGACTTTCTTATGTTATTGTTGTTATGTGCCGTCGAGTCGCCTGCGACTCATAGCGACCCTATGTACAACAGCCCTAA